AATCTGGAACTTTATGTCTCATGCTGTATATCATAATGAAATACTGTTTATAGATTCATCCATTGTCTTGTTTTATACATACAAGGCAATGATACTATCCTATTTGATTCTTAAGATCTGTATTATCATTGCTTACAGTGGATTCATCAAGACAAAACTTTCTAGTCTGCATGTTAGTTGTACCTTGAATTATTTTATGAAAGTGAGAAGAAGTTGCAAGATAAACACTGAACCTAATCCGGAATGTGGAATTAATGTATAGAGTAAGAGGTGGATATTTTTGACTCTGCTTGAGCTGGTGATATTTACTAAACTTTGAAAATAGGCATATCTAGCATTTTACAGTTATTACAAATGCTTGCAATTGATTGGAACATGCAACTTCCGCTGTTCTTTTAGCGTGCACAACTCGTCACAACTCATCACTCGTCTTTTCACTAGTATGTTAGTATGCACAATTCGTCACGAGTCTTTTCACTAGTTTGTTAGGATGCACACAAGTCAGGTCTTATTTCCTTTCAGATGCAGGCATTTAGACATGCTCAAATCATGGAGGCTCAGCATTTATCTTGCGAGGATAGCTTCAATTTTAGGCATACAATGGATGTTTTTACTTTGATAGCATTTGTGAGTACCTGTTTTCTAGTCTTCTTGAAAGCCTCCACAGCAATTGACTCCATTTCTCCATCTGAGCCTCTCCCCAATGGAAAGACCTTAGTTTCCGATAATGGAAACTTTGAGTTGGGTTTCTTCCATCCAGGCAGTTCTGGGAACCGGTACTTGGGAATTTGGTACAAGAACATCCCAGTCAGAACAGTTGTTTGGGTTGCAAACAGGGTGAATCCAATAAATGACTCTTCTGGCATGCTGATGGTAACAACCACTGGTCATCTTCAGCTTCTGAGTCAGAACATAACTGTTGTTTGGTCAGCTAACTCAAAAAAAGCAGCTCAGAATCCTATACTGCAGCTCCTGAATTCTGGCAATCTTGTTTTGATAGATGGCAGGGATGGAAATTCGGGAGCTTACTTGTGGCAAAGCTTTGATTATCCATCTGATACACTGCTACCGGGGATGAAACTAGGATGGGACTTGAGAACTAGCCTTGACAGGCGTCTCTCAGCATGGAAGAACTCTGATGATCCATCTCCTGGTGACTTCACTTCGGAAATTGAACTACAAGGCAATCCTGAGGCGGTGCTCTGGAAAGGCTCAAAGAAATACTACAGGAATGGCCCCTGGAATGGCATAAGATTTAGTGGTGCCCCAATTGTAAGTCCTGAGAACCAAGTTTTCAGTAATGAATTTGTCTCCAATGAAGAGGAGGTCTACTACATGTTTTCCCTCAAAAACAAGCCTATGCTCTCAAGGACTGTTCTGAACCAAACTGACTACACAAGACAGAGATACACATGGAATGAAGAAACTCGAACATGGAAGCTTTACGCATACCTACCTAACGACAATTGTGACAAATATGGACTTTGTGGTGCATATGGGAATTGTGACAGTACTCAACCTCCACCTTGCCAATGTTTGAAAGGATTCAAGCCTAAATCACCAGATGGATGGAGCTCTGGGGAATGGTCTCAAGGATGTGTCAGAAACAAGCCATTGAACTGCCAGGCAAGCGATGGATTTATCCAATTTGAAAGGTTGAAACTGCCTGATGCTACCCATTCATGGGCAAACAAAACTATGAGCCACAAGGAATGCAGGCATAAATGCTTCCAGAACTGTTCTTGTATGGCATATACTAGTTTGGATATAAGAGGAAGAGGTAGTGGTTGTGCCATTTGGTTTGGTGATCTAGTTGACATTAGACAGTTTCAATCTGCTGGGCAGGATCTGTTCATTAGGATGTCTGCTTCGGAATTAGGTATGAACATCCCTTTCATTCACGTCTCTTCATTAGCCAACTTGAATATTTCCTTGAAGCTGAATCTTGTTGGCAGTAGAAAGATCAAATAACTATGCTTATTACAGCTTGTGATAATGTACTTTAGCTAAGATATAATTATATTTGTTCTTACCATCAAAATTGACAATGAAGGATCAAAGAGAAATGAGACTAAGTCGAAGATTATTTTTATTTTTCTATTTTTATGTCACTAGGTAACAAATAGTTTCCTTCAGTTAGAAGACTCAGACTCCCTTTCCTTTGAATTACCATGATTGATCCAAGGCTAGAATGGCAGAATCAAACGCTAGTGAATCATTTCCTTCAGCTCAAAGAATTTTTATTTTGTAGGATAACTTACTAGTTTTTTCCTTAATTTTAAGGCATATTTTTAAGTAGCATGCAATGCATAGAGCCAGTAAAACGTTATCTGATGTTACAGCCTTACAGGTTATGGTAAGAAGCAAGTAGTGATTATTGTCATCTCTGTAATGTTGACTGGAATGGTTTTCATTGGATTATTATGCTACATATGGATCAAGAAACGGAGGAAGCAAGGAGAAGGTGAAAATGAGGAGATGGAGTTACCAATATTTGATTTAACCACTATGGTGAAAGCAACAGATAACTTTTCAGGTAACAACATGCTAGGACAAGGTGGGTTTGGACCTGTTTACAAGGTATTTAGAATATATATATATGTGTGTGTGTGTGTGTGTGCATGAGCCACAATGTTTACAACAAATATAAACATTTATAAATGATGAATTTTCTAGGGAATATTGGCAGACGGACAAGAAATAGCAGTTAAGAGGCTTTCAAAAAGCTCCGGGCAAGGAATGGTAGAGTTCAAAAATGAAGTTATACTGATTGCCAAACTTCAACACCGTAATCTTGTTAAGCTTCTTGGTTGCTGCATTCAAGGAGATGAAAAGATGTTGATCTACGAATATATGCCCAACAAAAGTTTGGACTACTTTATCTTTGGTCTGATTCTCAAACCTTCTTGTACCAGAAAAAAAAAAAAAAAATCTTTCATTTTTTGCGGAACTGGACTAAAATGCGTACATTTACCAGATCAAACAAAAAAGGCATTGATAGATTGGCAGAGGCGGATGCACATCATTGGTGGAATTGCTCGTGGGCTTCTTTATCTTCATCAAGATTCTAGATTGAGGATTATCCATAGGGACCTCAAAACAAGTAATGTCCTGTTAGACAAAGATATGAACCCAAAAATTTCAGACTTTGGTTTGGCTAGAATGTTTCTGGGAGATCAAACTGAAGCAAGAACTAATAGAGTTGTTGGAACTTAGTAAGTAGAAGTGAATATAATGCAGAATATAGGTATTTGTATCTAAGGCCACATATTTTTCACTTTGCTTGTAATGACACTTTTGCAGTGGTTATATGTCTCCTGAGTATGCGGTAGATGGACACTTCTCAATAAAATCTGATGTCTTCAGCTTTGGTGTGATAGTACTCGAGATCATAAGTGGGAAAAAGAACAGAGGATTTCACCACTCGGATCACTATCATAATCTTCTTGGACATGTAAGCATAAAGAAACAACATATTACTTTATTGAACAATGCCATACATATATGATATATGTTTGTTTTTGGCCTTCAATGCTATACATATATTTGATATTTAATAATTTTAGGTATGGAGACTATGGATCGAAGAAAGAGCATTGGAAGTAATGGACACCATGTTAGGTGACTCTTGCACTGTTTTTAAGGTTCTACGTTGCATTCATGTGGCTTTGCTATGTGTTCAGAAACGACCAGAGGACAGGCCAGATATGTCGTCTGTGGTTCTAATGTTGTGTGGTGAGAATCCATTGCCTCAACCAAAACTTCCTGGTTTTTACACCGAAAGGAATCTACCAGAAGAAGAAGAGGTTTCATCAAGCCCGTTTGGATGTGTTTCAGTAAATGAAGTAACAATTTCAAAGTTGCAGGGACGGTAGAGCATCATCACTTGAAATAAAAGATGTTAAACATAAAAGTGGAAGGCTAGTATACGTACTGTAATAGCAAACATCCTAGATATCATTTTCTTGGCAGTAATGAGCTAAGAAAATTGTGTAGCATGTTATATAATGTCTCCAGCGTCTCTTCAAATTACAAGGTTGACTACTACAGTTACATGGATTGGGGCTCCTTCTTTTTCTTGGCAGGATCCATAGTTTCAACCTTCATGGCCAAGTTTCGTATATTAATCTAAAATTTCCTTTCTACTAATTTGTTATGTATGAGTAATTTCAATTCCATTTGGTGGCCAATAAATCGATAGAACCAAGTTTCCTGCTTTAGGAAACATGTAATCTTTCTGTTTAGATGACTGGAAATGATTTGGTTCATTCGTTGTGATAAAAATAGAGAAGAAAAATTAAAATTTTTAAAAAAGTGGTTGATTCAAAGTCTTGAGCACACAAAATAATTCTGTTTTCTAAAATTCTTTGTTTGATGAAGTTCTTTAGTTGCGCACTCTTAGAATCATAAATTGTGTAGAGAGTGTCTTGTTTAAAGCTTCTGATGATCAAAACTAAAATGGAATTCCACCCAATAAGTTTCTTTGTGATTATGATCTGTGTTAACTGTAAAATTGATCATTGTTCAATTCTTGATAGTATTGACATGCCATTGTTACCTTTTGCAGTTGTGGCTGGCGCGTGTTGCCTGAAAGTAGATCATATCTTCTTGCAACAGTGCACAACTTTTGATCATAGGATACCTGCATGTCATTACTGAAAAAGTTTATGTTCACTAACTAACAAGGAAAAGTCTGCAATCTTAGCGGGGAAGACATGCATGCAAGGTTATATATGTAGTCTGATATCATTGTCCTTTTAGTAACGTTATAGAGGGTATATCTTCAGGTTGTGAAAACTAGGAAATGGATGGACATTTTACTAGTTTGTGCACACCATTTTACTATTTTTCTTCTTTAGATTCTCAGATGGAGCCAAGATCATCACCTCATCCCAATCTACTAATGATGGGAGGCCCTTAGTTTCTAAAGATGGAGGCTTTGAACTGGATTTATTCAGTCCTTGAATCTCGAAGGGCCATTATTTGAGAATTTAGTGCAAAAATATCCCAATCAGAACTATTGTGAGGGTTGCAAATCCGCAGCATCCAATCATGGATTCATCTGGTCTGTTGATGATAAACAGCACAGGCAATCTTGTTCTTACTAGTCAAAATAGGACTATTCTTTGGCCATCAAACTCAAACAAAGAAGCTCAAAATCTAGTCTGTAACTCTTATATTCTGGAAATCTTGTCCTCAGAGATGAAAAGGATGGCAACTTAAAAATATTTTTGTGGCAGAGCTTTGACCATCCAACTGACACGTTACTACCAGCGATGAATCTTGGGTGGTACTTGAGAACTGATCTTCATAAACAGCCATCAGCATGGAAGAGCCCAGATGATCCATCTCTTGGAGACTTTACTTTGGGGCTAGGACTAAATAATTACCCCGAACTTACTATGCTGAACATCAAGAAGAGCATGATCTTGGAATGGTCTCAGATATTGTGGTGAGACCGAATCAAGTTCTATTTCAGTTTTTGAGTTGAACTTTATCTCAAATGAGGAGGAGGTATACTCCAGTTGTAACATCAAAAATAGATCAGTGATCTCAAGGTTTGTTACAAACCAAACTAATTATTTAGACCAGTGCTTGATATGGAATGAAGAAACTAGAAATTGGAACCTATATTTCTATCTGCCAACTGCCAAGGGAAATCTGTGACCACCATGGACATTGTGGTGTGCATGAGACTCGTGACAACACTGAGTTGCCACTTTGTCAATGTTTGACAGGATTCAAACCTATATCACCACAAAACTGGAACTCAGTGGACTGTTCTAAGGGTGTGTGCAGAATAGGCAATTACATTGCCAGAATGGAGATCAATTTATTAAATTTAGTTGTATTAAATTGCCAGATACAACTTACTCTTGGGTGAACAAAAGCTTGGATCTCAAGGAACGCAGAAGTAAATGCTTTCAGAACTGCTCTTGCATGGCTCTCACACAATTGGATATCAGAGAGAAAGGTAGTGGTTGTGCCATTTGGTTCGGTGATCTGATTGATTTTAAACAGTTTCATGATGGTGGGCAGGATCTGTGCATCCTAATGTCTGGTTCTGAATCAGGTATGAGCTTCAATTTTATTCAAGGATTTCAATCCGACATTTGACAAACCCCCCTCTCCTCTGGTTCAAAAAAAAGGGTAAGGAAAAATAAAGAGATTCCAATCCATCCTTGAGGTCAAATTACGCTTCCAATTTAATTTGATATCAATTGAATCTTATTGTTATATCTACTGTGTATATGTTTTAGCTCTAATTTAACCTCTCTCTCTTCTTCTTCATTTTTTTTTTCCCTTACGAAAATCAATCATGAAGCAGTGGAAGGTGAGACTAAAATGTAGAGAATCACAGTAATTTCAGTTCCTGTTTTTGTAGTTGTTGGTTTGATTCTCGTCAACTATTACATTCGGAGAACCTGCGCAAATTTAGAAGGTAATTTTATCTGCATTCACAAATCATATCATAATACTGTTTGTTAGAACTTCATTAAACTGTAAAGAACTAAAGAATGATTACAAACTTTCCTGGATTTGTTTCAAAAGGAACCACTGTCATTATTCAGTTACTCATCATTTGATTAAGAACTTGGTTAAATTATTTAGAATTTAACAATTAATATATGCCTTGTAAAAAAAAAAATAATTTAGAGCTGCAGAACCTTGGCTGTCAAATTGATAGAAGAGATTGTGGCATGTCATCTGTTCTCTTTCTTGCTTCATTGCATCTTGACTAGGATTTTAGATTTCTTTATCTCATTATGGCCTCATGCTTGTCAAGTTGATTTGGAAAACATTAGCATTTCAATAAAGTTCACATATGATTGCAATTATGCAGTATATCAATGTTCCTTACTATAATGTTGTCATTTTGTAAGCATAACCACATAAGTATGCTCCTTTCTTTTTTTTTCCTTTTCTATGATTTACATGACCAAACTCTGATAAGGGAATTTGAATTTTGGATTAAAAGAATTTCAATCTGTTTATTAATGAAAAGCATTTTATATATTTTAATCTATTATTTTAACCTTGAGTTTATTACTATTTGAAAGGATAATATGTGATTTTTAATAGATTTTATGCAGTTTTCATTTGTTTGGAAAAGAGGACTTGAATGCATAATAATAGGAGTTTGTGGGATTATGTGAATATCTTTTGAACATTGAGGGACTGAATTGCTAGAAGAAAGGTTGCTTTTTGGGACCTAAATGAATGAATTTTAAGCTACTGGATTAAATTGCTTATTTTATAAAAGATGAAAGATCAGGTCTGCTACTTTACCATTAAAAAACTCAAAAGGGGGCTAGAAACCCGACACGGCTGTGGTGTCAATTGTCGAGGGATACTTTACCATTAAAAAATCATTAAGATGAAATGATTTGGTTTATCGGATGTGATAAAAATAAAGGAGAAAAATTAAAATTTTTAAAAAGATGGTCTATTCCTGGTCTTGATAACACCACATGATGCTGTTCTCTAAAATTCTTTGTTTGATGAAGTATTTTAGATGCGCACTCTTAGAATCATAAATTGTGTAAAGGGTATCTTGTTTGAAGCTTTTGATGGTCAAAACTAGAAAGGAAATCCAGAGGATAAGTTTCTTTGTGATTTAATTATGATCTGTGTTAACTGTAAAGTAGATCATTGTTCAATCCTTGATAGTATTCACATGCCAATTGTTTTCTTTTGTAGGCGTGGCTGGCTTGTATTGCCTGCAAAATAGGTCATATCTCCTTGCAATAGTGCACAACTTTTGATCATAGGATACCTTCATGTCCTTACTGAAAAAGCTTGTGTTCACTAACTAACAAGAAAAAGTTTGCAATCCTTGAGGAGAAGACATGCATTCGAGGTTATATATGTATTCTAAGATCATTGTCCTTTTACTAACAGTATAGAGGGTATCTCTTCAGGTTGTGAGAGCTAGGAAATAGATAGACATTCTATTTTACAAGTTTGTGTACACCATTTTAATATTTTTCTTCTTTAGATTCTCAGATGGAACCAATATCATCACCTCATCCCTATCAATTAGTGATGGCAGGACCTGAGTTTCTAAAGATGGAGGTCTTGAACTGGGTTTCTTCAATCCTGGAATCTCTAAGGGCCATTATTTGGGAATTTGGTACAAGAATATCCCAATCAGAACTATTGTGTGGGTTGCAAATCGGCACAATCCAATCATGAATTTTTCTGGTTTGCTGATGATAAACAGCACAGGCAATCTTTTTGTTACCAGTCAAAACAAGACTATTCTTTGGTCATCAAACTCAAACAGAGAAGCTCAAAATCTAGTCATACAACTCTTAGATTCTGGAAATCTTGTCCTGAGTGATGAAAAAGATGGCAACTCAGAAATATTTTTGTGGCAGAGCTTTGACTATCCAACTGACATGTTACTACCAGGGATGAAGCTCGGGTGGGACTTGAGAACTGGTCTTCACTGACAGGTATCAGCATGGAAGAGCCCAGATGATCCATCTTCTGGAGACTTTACTTTGGGGCTAGCACTAAATAATTACCCAGAACTTATTATGCTGAAGGGTTCCAAAATGTATTTCCCATCAGGACCTTGGAATGGTCTCAGATATAATAGTGAGGCCAAATCAAGTTCTTTTACAGTTTTTGAGTTGAACTTTATCTCAAATGAGGAGGATATATACTTCAGTTATAACATCAAAGATCAGTGATCTCAAGGTTTGTTGTAAACCAAACTAATTATTTGGGTCTGTGCTTGATATGGAATGAAGAAACTAGAAACTGGATCCTCTATTTCTATCTGCCAAGGGGCATCTGCAACAACTATGGACATTGTGGTGTGTATGGGACTTGTGACAGTACCAAGTTGCCACTTTGTCAATGTTTGAAAGGATTCAACCCTATATCACCACAAAAGGTGTACACGGAATAACCCTTATTTGATTGTGAGAATGGAGATTAATTTATTAAATTTATTCATAACAAATTGCCAGATACAACTTACTCTTTGGTGAATAAAAAGCATGGATCTCAAGGAATGCAGAAGTAAATGCTTGCAGAACTGCTCTTGTATGGCCTACACACACTGAGATATCAGAGGAAAAGGTAGTGGTTGTGCCATTTGGTTTGGTGATCTGATTGATTTTAAACAGTTTCATGATGGTGGGCAGGATCTGACATTACAATCCATCCTTGAGGTTAAATTACAGAGAATCACAATAATTTCAGTTCCTGTTCTTGTATTTGTTGGCTTGATTCTTATCAGCTATTACTTTTGGGGAACCTGTGCAAAATTAGAAGGTAATTTTATCTGCCTTCATCATATCATAATTCCATTTGCTAGATCTTTATTAAACTATAAAGAATGATTACAAACTTTCCTGGATTTGTTTCAAAAGGAACCTTTTTCATTATTCAGTTATTCATCATTTGATTGAGAACTTGATTAATGTACTTAGAATTTAACAATTTATTAATGCCTTGTGAACCAAAATAAAAGCTGCAGAACCTTGGCTGTCAAATTGATAGAAGAGATTGTGGCTTGTCATCTGTTCTATTTCATGCTTCATTGCATCTTGACTAGGATTTCAGATTTCTTTATCTGGTTATGGCCTCATGCTTGTCAAGGTGATTTCGAAAACATTAGCATTTCAATAAAGTTCACTCATGATTGTGATTATGCATTATACCACTGTTCCTTATTATAATGTTGTCATTTAAAATTTGTAGGCATAACGCATAAGAATGTCCTTTTCTTTCTTTCCTCTTGTTTTGCAATGATTTACATGCTCACATTGACATAGGGGGTTTTGAATCTGGGACTTGCAAGAATTTCAGCATATGTTTAATTCAGCTAGTATAAATATGTCAACCTTCCTGTTCAGAATTATGGCTGTACCCAATGTTCTTGGGGTCCAAATATAACATTCTACACTTGACTTATAGTCGGCACATTTTCTACTGTTTCAGGGAGAGGGAAAAAATCTTGTGGACGGTGACTGAAGCAAAAAATGGCAAAATGAAGAAATGAAAGTTCAGTATTTTGACCTACCTATAATAGCTAAAGCTAGGGGAAGGTGGTTTGGGCCATTGTACAAGGTACATTCTTGATATTATACTTCAAAATAAAAATGAACAATTGGAAGACGGAGAGATCTCGTTTACAGAATATGATAAGAAGTTCTATGATACATAATTTAGGGTATTCTGGCCAATGGACAAGAAATTGCTGTGAAGAGGCTTTCAAGAAGCTCTGGGCAAGGATTAAATGAGTTCAAGGATGAAGTTGCACTTATAGCCAAACTTCAAGATTGGAATCTTGTAAAGCTTCTGGGATGCTGCCTCCAGGGAGAGGAGAAAATGCTGATTTTTGAATACATGTCAAACAAAAGTTTGGACTTCATTTTTGGTCAGATGAAAAACCAAACACACTTTGTAGGAGTGGCATGAATTTATCACAATTAGTTTGTGCATGCACAATTTTAGGAAACTGCACTAATGCAAATATCATACTTGCAAGATTAAACAATAAGAAAACTATTAGGCTGGTCCAAGAGTTTCCACATTATCTGTGGAAGTTTTTTGGAGGCTTATCTATCTACACCAAGATTTCAGATTAAGGATCATTCATAGAGATACTGCTTGATAGAGAGATGAACCTGAAATCTCAGAGTTTGGCATGGCTACAACTTTGGAAGGATACCAGATTGAAGGGAGCACAAACAGTGGTTGGAACCACTACAGCATTTTTGCCATTTAGCTACGCTTTTTTTTACCTATGCTCACTATTTTATAGGTATAGGGTTCTATTAGTTATGATTTATAATTTGTAGGTATATGGATAAGTTATAGCTACATCCACAAAAAAACCGTAGGATAATTTTCTACACTTAGATCTCCCCAGTATCCTCAGGTTAACCTAGTAAGTCTTATTTCTACACTTAGATCTCCCCAGTATCCTCAGGTGTATAATTTTCTTTGGATGATCTTCTGCAGTGGTTACAAGGTGCACCAGAATATGCTATTGATGGGAATTCTCAGTTAAATTGGATGTTTTTAACTTTGGTATACCATTGCTGGAGACAATACATGGGGAGAATATCAGAGGGTTTTATTACATTAATCACGATCTTAACCTGATTGAATGTAAGTATCAAGACTTACTTTTGGAGCATGCTTTGAACTGATATGACCATAGAAAAATTTTACAATATGTATTTCTCTTAGGGATGGAGATCGTGGAAAGAAGGAAAGCCTGATTGATTCATTTTTGGAAGATTCATGCACCCTATCAGAAGTGACCCAGTGCATCCGAATAGGTCTGTTATGTGTTCAACAAAATGCTGATGACAAACCTAGTATACCATCCATGGTTCTAATGCTGGGTAGTGAAATTGTGTTGGCGCAACCAAAGAACCCAGTTTTCTTATGGAAGAGAAATCATTAGAAACAGGTTCTTCATCAAGTATGATGGAATCATCTGAAACTATTGAACTTACTCTGACACTATTAAACGCTCAATAGAGGAATCTTGAACTTTATGCCTCATGCTGTATATCATAATGAAATACTGTTCATAGATTCATCCGTTGCCTTGTATTATACATACAAGGCAATGATACGGTCCGATTTGATTTTTAAGATCTGTATTATCATTGCTTACAGTGGATTCATCAAGACAAAACTTTCTTGTTTGCATGTTAGTTGTACCTTGAATTATTTTATGAAAGTGAGAAGAAGTTGCAAGACAAACACTGAACCTTACCCAGAATGTGGAATTAATGTACAGGATAGAAGGTGGATATTTTGACTCTTTGCTTGAGCAGGTGATATTTACTAAACTTTGAAAATAGGCATATCTAGCATTTTACAGTTATTATAAATGCTTGCAATTGATTGGAACATGCAACTTCCACTGTTCTTTTAGCATACCCAATTCGTCACAGGTCAATTGTTCAAATCCATCACCCGTCT